AACGCTGAACTATGTACATGTCCGTTTTTTCCATGAAGGGGCATGTCAGACGGAATGGGTTTGGCCCGGCGCCAAATCCGTTTTCCACCTGTTATTTAACCCATTGCGTACCGCGTGCTGCACATGGTGAAGCACGCTTCGTTTGAACTCATTTAGCATTATTTAGATGATTGAAAGAGTCGGTATTGCGGGATTGAATAATAGCTAAGTTATTGGCATTTTCCGAGTAATACCTCAGGTATTATATTTTTTAATTAACTCTCCTTTACCATTAAAACCGAAATCCTGCTTAGGTACACTGAAAAATTGTAAAATGGTGTGAGTGAACAGCTTCTAAGCACATTGCGTCACTTTTTCAATTCTTCTTAATTTTATCAAGCTTTTTTGGCTAGTTTCGCATTTTTCGGCTCATCACTTTTATCACGTAACAATATTGAATCCCGTTTAGCATACGTCTACATATATAAAAGTGATGCATAATACGATGTGTGTACAATATTTTTATGGAGAGATCTTACGTGTTTATACTCAGCGCGCCACAAGTCGCGTCGCGCAAAAACGCCGCGGTACGCAATGGGTTAAACGAGCAAGCTACAAGACTGCATCTCGTTCGTATTAGTCGCTTTCTACCACTTCTTTTCTCTCACCTGGTCCAACAACTGGTGGAGATAGCGCCTGTGCCCACTCCGAACCTGTCCCGCCGGATACCGGATTCTTCATCCGTAGCGAACGCGGTTGTAGATGATAGGTTTTTACATTGTTCTCATGTTAAGGTTTCAACCTTGCTCGTCAAAGAGATAAGCTGGTAATTATTCTGGAAGAGTTAAGTGATCTGCATGAGGATGCTTGTCGAGCGGATGCTATATGCAGAGAAGTTGTGCCTGTTCACAACAAATGTGAGTTATACATGGCGAGAGACTAAGAGTTTATTTATAGTATTGTATTTACTCTACTTTACTTACCGCATGTTATCCCTTTCTTTTCCAGATAATCCATTTGTTACTTTTGTCTTCACGCAAACTCTATCACTTGTTGTTTACCATATAGAGCTGAGTTTTCGGCTTGATTTGTTTGCTCCATTTGAGTTCACCTACATATATTGGTCAGTTCTTATGATTATTGACTTCTTATTTCCTTTTCCCAATTTTCGGGCATCTCAGCATTTTCTCGAGTTATTTTTAGGTTTTATGGAGAGGTAGTAGGAAGATGGTATATGACTTCTATAGAGAAAACTCGTGAATTAATGAGGGACACTTTGAAAAAAGGTAAAAGATTTCACTTTTCCAGGAGATCTTAAATCGAAGCGATCAGACTTCGCGATGACCCGCGTGGACGCGCTACAATTGCAACAGCGCTCCAATGCTATAGACGTGACGGCTGCCGCAGACAGAAATGGATACGGAGCTTCTTGCGTTTTGAGATACTGCAGAATACTATTAAGAGTGTGGGCGTTGCCTTGACACAATCTGGTACCCTCCTGTTCTTCTATACACT